TTTGGAACTCTGTGCTGTTATAAGCAAACCCAATATGATACATTTTAAAGTGGAATACAGTAAGATAATGAGTTTCTCTTTGTTCGTTTTTTTTTTGTTGTTTTTTTTTCCTTGTGGAACAATGGGAATCAGTGCTTTTTTCATTTAAGGACACTGCATGCCTCAAACACTTCTGCATTTATTGTAACTTTTTTTTTTTAAAACATCACCTTTAGTAGTGGGTGAACAGATTTTTGTCCTGCGTCTGTCCAACTTATTTTATTTTTAAACATTAGCCTATGGCCGAAACTGGTAGAGCGTCGGTCTGCGGACTGAAAGGTCCCAGGTTCGATTCTGGTCAGGGGCATGTACGTTAGTTGCGGGCACATCCTCGGTAGGGGGTGTGCAAGAGGCAGCTGGTCAGTGTTTCTCTCTCATCGACGTTTCTAGCTCTCTATCTCTCTCCCTTCCTCTCTGTAAAAAATCAATAAAAATATATTTTAAAAAACCAAAAAAAACCCCAACATTAGCCTATGGTAATAATTTATGTAGAATAAAAGTATTAAAAAAAAAAGAAAATAATATGCACTCTATAATTTGTGGTTATAATATTGCTTAATGTGACTTTGGCATGTATTTTTGCAAACAAAATGCTATAAGATTTATACTACTGACAGCTATACTTAATTTGTATACAATATATTATGCACATTTGGGAATGCATTTCTAGAAACATACTGCAGTAGATTATGTTGAGCAAAACACATAACTAAAAAAGTAAAGATAAGGAAATACTTTCAAGTTAAGTACTTCCTAATTGTGTAGAATCTTATAGCATCTTTGATAAACATCTTTCAGCAAAAGTGCCAGTTAGTCAGGTTTGTTGACTATATAGTAGAAAAGCTGATTATGGTTATCTCTTTAAGGACATTTAATTGTACAGACTACATAATGTTATATTGTCTCAACATTCACTGATTAATTGTAAATTATCTTAATTTTTGTGCAGACTGAAGGAGCACTGTAACCTTCAGCACTGTATAACCTAAACGTTCATTTGTCTATGACTTTTCAGCTTCTCCCATAGATAGTTTAACAGGTATTACAGTTTGTAATTGAAATGTTGCTTTCATTGAAAGTGTCTTGATGTTTCAGTTATTTTTAATCGCCATATAAAAATAGATGTATATTTTGGGTTTATCAGATTTCTCATGCACAGGCAATACACAAATTTAAAATGATTTGTGAGCTACTTGTTTCTGAAATGTTTCGGTAGTTTATTAAGAAATAGGTAAATATTGTGCTTTTCAGGGCCTCGGAGAGGTGAACTTGGGGGAGGGGGAGGAATGTATCCTGGAATGGGCCAGCCTAAAAAATTCTGGTACTCAAGGTTCTGTTGGTATTTCTGTGCATATACTGTAGTAAACAGGTATCATTCCAGGGTGATAAACAGCCGATTTAACAATGTTGAATACATTTGGCTGTTCTACAGCCTTTTTCTTTCCTCCTCAGAGAAGTTCTGTTTGCCTAACTCTCAAATTGTTGGTGTGGTACATTCCTTTAGGACCAATTAAACATAACTTTAGGTCAGTAATATATTTGGTTCAATATTCTCTTAGGTCATTATAGTCTCATGTACAGGAAATTGAAATGTTCAAGCTACCAAAAATGAGTTCAGACCAATAAAATCAAAGGAAATATGAGTTGAATTGCATTACTTCTGTAAGTTGCTTGCTATTAAAAAGGGTCAACAACCATGCTCTGTTCTGACACTTTCCCCAGGAGGAAAACTTATATGAGGTCAAAGTGAAGGCATGGCTAGAGGAAGTTGTTCAGGATTACTCACGTGTCTGCTCTCTCTGCCTTTTGCCTCAGTCTTGTTTAAAAACTTGTACTGGCAGCCGAAACCGGTTTGGCTCAGTGGTAGAGTGTCAGTCTGTGGACTGAAAGGTCCCAGGTTCGATTCCGGTCAAGAGCATGTACGTTGGTTGTGGGCACATCCCCGGTAGGGGGTGTGCAAGAGGCATCTGGTTGATGTTTCTCTCTCATCGATGTTTCTAGCTATCTCTCTCCCTTCCTCTCTGTAAAAAATCAATAAAATATTAAAACAAAACAAAACAAAAAAAACTTGTACTGGCAAATGGTGGTATTCAGTGTGGGATAGTGTCATAACTAATTTATGACAATATTAATATTAATCACAAATAACAAATATCTAGCTTTTAAAAAAATAGTAATTGGAAATGATAAGTATTATGAGTTTGCAGCTTTTTAAGTTTTTTCCGAAGGGCATTTACAAGCCCCCACAGCAGAGGAAAGTGGCAGTGGAAAACCTCAGTCTTACTTTCTTATGGTGGCAAAGAACAGAGTTCAGGGTAGAAAAATTACCTGAAAATGTCAGGGGAGGTATCCTTGAAAGTAAGTAAAACCATAGAAGAGGGTGAATGCCATAACCTGACTGTAAACACTACTAAAAAGCCCTGGGGAAACCTCTAAACGTGGGAAGATTCCAGATGGCCTGGTGAAAAAGCAGGCAGAAATCAGAGGCAGAATTCTGTCTTTGAAAGACTGAACCTATACCAGATAAGCTCTGTGAGTTTGCTGCTTTTTTAACAGTGCGTTTCCCAATCATGTATAGCTCAGATGGCAGAAATCTGAAGTCTTACAAAGATAGATCTATCTTTTGGGTTTATCGAGGTATGAAAAGACAGATTCTAAGACCGTCTTGTGATCAGCCCATCCAGTTTGCCTCTCATAGAGAGAGGCAACAATCCATGAACCAAGAAGTCATGGTTCAACTCATGGAACTTCATGATGAAGGTAGCAGTTCTAGAAAAGCTACTGAGGATGTATGTGACAATTGCTAAAATTGAATGAGCTGATGGATGTGAGCCCCAGGTCCAAGAATCTGTTTAAAATTTGGACTTTTAATGGTGACAAAAAATCCTATTTGTGATTTAAAACACACACACAAAAACTGTAGTTTTACCAGTGTGTAGTTGGACATGAAAACATGCTACTCTTCTGCAAGATGGGGTGGGCTTTATTTGGGGCAGAGGGTGAAGACTTGCAGTTTTGTCAATTAAAATTGGCAAACTTTGTTGGGAATAAATGTAGAAAATCCCCAGCTTTGCTAGGCTGAGATTGCAATGCCCATTGGGATGAGTGCCAGAAACTTGCTTTATGGAGAAGATACTGAAAAGGGAGAAGATACTCCCTTGATCCTCTCTGAAATAAATTAAAAAATATTTTTTTTAAAGAACGAGTGAGTGAGTCACAGAAGGGCTAAGGTAAGCTCTCTGCATATCGCTAGCTTAATGAGAAACTATCTGCATGTTTAAGAGAGCCTGGTAAAAAGTAAAAATCAAGGGAGATTTAAGAATTGGCTGAAATTTTGAATACATGCCTCAAGCAATACACAGATGGATTAGTAGAGGGTGAAGCTTTATGAGCTCCAGGTGTTTGACCTCTGACTACTAAACTATGCAGATACTTAGGGTGATACCTAGAAACCCAGGCTAAAGTAAAAATAAGAATTAAAAAGAAAACTGAGCAGAAACATCAATTGCACCATACTGTGTGTGTGTGTGTGTGTGTGTGTGTGTGTGTGTGTGTGTGTGTGTGTGAAAGAGAGAGGTGGGGGGGTTAGGGAAGGGAGGGAGAGTTTGTTTAGTTTAAGTACAGGGAAGTTACTAAAAATAACAGCCCTTCAGAAAAATAAAACAGAATCCAGAGTTGCTATAATATGTTATCTAATATTTCCAGTTTTAACCAGGTGTTATAAGACATGCAAAAAAGTATCAGGAAGTGTGGCCCATGCTCAGGGGAAAATAATAATCAACATAAATAAATTCAGAGTGGACTCACCAGTTAGATTTAGCAAACACTTCAAAGGAATTTTAAAATATGTTTCAAAATTAAAAGAATCTGTGTTCAAAGTTTTAAGGAAAATGAGATAATTACATAACAAAGAATGATTCTAACCACTTTTTTTTTTTCATTTCAAAAATAGGTTTTTTCATTATAAAAATAAGTCATGATTATAGGTAGGAAAGAGCAAGAATTAAAGTAAGTGAAAATCACCCACATACTAAATTGAAAATTATTCATACTTTTATATATTTTTTCAGATATTCTAAACATATGTAAATATACACTCCACAGTTTAAAAGCATGTTATATTTTTGTTTGCTAATATGTCTACATCTAATGTGAAAAATATTTTTTCCTGGCTGGTATGGCAAGGTAGTTACGTTCCTGGGAAAAGCCCTATTGGGCCCAGGCTGCTGACGCTGTGTCCAATAATTCAGAAGCTTGAATCATATTAGGTATCTACTGGGAAGGCTAGCCACCTAGAAGACAGAGCTCTTACAAGCATCAAATCCTGTCTCCTCAGCAAGGCACAGGGGATTATACAGAAAAATGGGGTAGGTAGATCCGGAGGTCTGTAGATTTCAGCTATTGTCCTTTAGTCTTCAAGTGATGAGATGATGTTGATGAGATAATGTCTTGAATCATGGTGGGTCGGTCTTCTTTACATGTTCCCTTTCAGAGTTAAATTCTCTCAGGTTATGTTTCTTTGCTTCATCATAACTTTTATAAATATATTTACCTTTTTGGTTTACTATATTTTAAGTTCTCTCTTCTCCACTAGATTGTGCACTTTTGACTAGGGTTGATTATGTTATATCTATATTTTGGATCCAGATCTGTTTCATATAGGTGCTTAATAAGTATTTTTAGAAAGATTGAGTATAAATGTTAAGTGAGAAAAGAAGATAAAAGTACTGTACATAGTATGATTATTACTATTTTATTTTAAGCAAAACTCCATAAAAAAAAGACTAGGAAAATTTATATCATTATTTTAACACTTTAGTTTGGGTTGTGAGATTAGTTCCTTTAATATTTTAGACAGTTTTGCATTAAAAACATTTAATGTGCAATTATTTTATGAGATATAACTTTTAAAACTGGCTGTATAACTTTGCCTACTCAACTGAATTTTTGCATTTCTTTAGGTCCACAAGACAGTTACAATGTCCAATCCCCTAACTACAAATCTGACTGGGGAGATTCCTGTTGGGTCAAAGACTGTATCAGTCCAACTTGAGACGTCAGAGAATCTGGGTACTACGTCTAGCACTCAGCAAGTAAAAAACCCTGGGATAACCCAGATTGCTACCCCTCTGCCAGTGACTCCCTCCTCCAGTTATGCCACCCCCACCCCACACACCTCTTTCCAGAGCACTTCTGCACCGTTTCCAGGTGAGGCTCTTTGCTTCTCTCCATGGAGATGGGATGGGAAAGTAGAATACTTGATCAAAATGTTCCCTTTTAGCGAAAAGAAAGGAGGGAAGCATGCCTTTTAATTATGTAGGTTAAAGAAAAAATAATCCTGTAAGTATCCCTGTAATCATAGGATTGGGGGCTCTGGGTCCTTTTCTCAACAGGCCCCAACCTATGGGAGTTTATGAAGCTCATTTTCTCAGAACCAGATTCCACTGTGCCTGGGACTTAAAGGCATAAAATTTAATTAAGAATGTTCAAGGAATCAAGCAAGCAGAGGCCACTGGGAAGAAACAGTTGGATCTGTGCACCTATTTGCCTTCTGTACAGCTGAGTATAGGCCAGATATTTATCTCTCTAATTTTGACAGCATCTTTATTTTTTTTTTAAAGCAACCCAAAGGAAAATTTATACTTAGAATATTGCCTGAACAAGTCTGTATTTCATGAGTGCTGCTCTAACGTATTAGCAGGAAATTGTTAATCAAGGAAACCAAGTTGATCTTCAACTCCCAAAAAGGTCAAAAGGGTGAAGCAAAGCCAGTAAAAATGATTCTTTGCCAAATTTTAATTTCCAATGGTCTTTTTAAATTGTAAACAATGTAAAATTATGGGTATTAATCCTGTGGCACTTCAGTAACTTTTAAAAATATATATATATATTTTATTAATATTTTACAGAGAGGAGGAAGGGAGAGAGATAGAGAGCTAGAAACATCCATGAGAGAGAAACATCGACCAGCTGCCTCCTGCACACCCCCCACCGGGGATGCGCCCGCAACCAATGCACATGCCCCTGACTGGAATCAAACCCGGGACCTTTCAGTCCGCAGACCGACTCTCTACCACTGAGCCAAACCAGTTTCGGTACTACAGTAACTTTTTTATTCAGACAAAATGCCTGTAATTTTTGGTGTAATTGGGCTGTATTGCATTTTTGTCCATTATACTTTCTCTGAGTATATGATTTCTTTCTTTCTTTTCTTATTTTGAGAGTCACTTCAAAGAATTCTTATTTTACCTCCTGGGGTGTCTAAATGGTGAAGTTTTTATAATGGATGGGTTTATTTCTCCTCAATGCAGACAGATAAATTTCAAATATTTGTCTAGGAAGCTTTCTCATATCCAGTCTTGAAATGTAGATGGACTAGCCAATTATTTGATTTAAGCTCTCTAGTTCTATGGTCCCATACCAAATGAACAATTATTGTCAGAGAAATAAGATTAATTGAATCAGTGTTTCTCAACTACTTCTTGAACTACTTTAGCATTTTTGGAATACCACATCTGAAATAGATCAGTTTGAACTGAAATGGTCTAGGAAGATTTCTTGGGGAGAAGAGTGGCTTTGAGCTAAAAGCAAAGTACTGTATTTAGAATAAAGAAAATTCACACTCCAGTTGAATTCCCAAAGAGTATACTTCAATACCTGACTGTATGGCTCAGTTGTTTGACTATTGTCCCGTGCCCAGAAAGGTCACTAGTTTGATTCCTGTTTGGGGCACATACTCAGGTTGTGGGTCCAACCCCAGTTTGGGTGCAACCAATCCATGTTTCTCTCTGACATTGATGTTTTTCTTCCTCTCCCTCATCTTTCCTCCCTCTCTAAAATAAATACATACATTTTTTTTTTTTAAAGAATAGACTTCAATGGGAATAAAGACAGAAAATGAATATAACTAGTGACAGAATTGGGTAGAAAGCATGAGATGGTATGATTAGAGAATAATGATTCTCTACTACCAGATTATGAATTTGGCCTTAAATATGATGGGGTGAGCATCTTGAGTAACATGGTGGGTGAGTATTTTAGAAAAACTAGTGGTGGTGGGTATTTTAGGAAAACAGAATGGATTAGAGTGGGGAGAGCTAACAGAAGGAAGAATAGTGAAGATTCTTAGAATAATCTAAGTCTATGGTTATAACAGTTGGAATGGAAATAAATTAAGGCTGGCTTTGTGATTGACACATGCTTTTCTTCTAGAAACTTCATATATATTTTTAATTGACTTGAGAGAGAAATATTGATTTGTTGTCCCACTTATTTATGCATTCATTGATTGATTCTTGCATGTGCCCTGAATGGGGATCGAACCATAAGCTTGGAATATCAGGATGATGCTCCAACCAACTGAGCTACCTGGCCAGGGCCTTCATATGTGTATTTTATTTAGAAAATTATTTATCAGCATGAAGATGATCCTTGAAACAGGTAAGCTCTGTTTATTGAGCTCTATAAAAACAGAGCTTAAAGGTAGATCACAGTTAAAATACAGTGTAGAAAAATTAGAGAAAGAAGAAAAGTAGAATAATATGGTGACATGATAGCAAAGTTTTAATATATAAAAGCAGTCAGCAATATTAGATGCCACAGAAGTGAAGGATGAGGGTGGAGAAACAGCTGTTTGATCTGCCAAGAAGCAGTTTGTTAATGGCCTCAAAAGATCCTGTTCAGTGAAAAGTGGAGGCAGAATCAAATTTCAAGCAATTAGAGTGGATAAATAATGAGGATATAAAGGCAGTAGCTGAATATTGTTTATCAAAGAAATTTGGCCACAAAAGGAAGGATAGAAATGAGATAGTTTGGGTCTAATTTTTTTTTAAAAAAAAATATTTTTTTTTATTGATTTCAGAGAGGAAAGGAGAGGGAGATGAGAGAGAAGCATTGATTGGCTACCTCCTGCATGCCTCCCACTGGGGACCAAGCCAGTAACCTGGGCATGTGCCCTGACCGGGAATTAAACCCTGACCCCCTGGTTCATAGGTTCATTCTCAATCACTGAGCCACACTGGCTGGGCAAGTCTAATTTCTTTTCTTTTTAAAAAAATATTTTATTGATTTTTTTTTTTTTTTTTTTTTTTTACAGAGAGGAAAGGAGAGGGATAGAGAGATAGAAACATCAATGAGAGAGAAACATCAATCAGCTGCCTCTTGCACACCTTCCACTGGGGATGTGCCTGCAACCAAGGTACATGCCCTTGACTGGAATCTAACCTAGGACCCTTCAGTCCGTAGGCGGATGTCCTATCCACTGAGCCAAACCGGTTAGGGCGAGTCTAATTTCTTATCTCTTGTGTATTTTCTTTGTTTGCAGTTATAAAGAAGCTGGTCATATCTGCTGGAGAGAATGTCCAGGTGACTCTGCCTAAGAATTCAGTCCAGTTAAATGCATATGTTCTCCAAGAACCACTTAAAGGTAGTAAAACATCCCCTTAAATTTGGGTAATGTTTTAATTTATAATGAAATGTTTTAATTTATAATTTAAGTTATAATGTTTTAATTTATAATCTACATATCTTAACTCATTTACTCACTGCATCAGTCCAGTGAGAATAGGATATAGCATGCACTTACACAAATATACAGTAGATGTGATATGCGAGGCGAAATAACGTAATGTTTGAGATCATAGGCTTTAATGTCAAGCCTGGATTCAAATCCCAACTCAGCTGGTCATTAGCTGAATGATTTTAAGCAAGTTATTTAGTTTCTCTAAGTTTCTATTTCTTTCTCAGTAAAATCAGATGATTTCTACATCATTAGGTTACTTTAAGGGCAAAATTACGGTAAATGTTATATAAGACATCCACTTCAGTGCCTAGCATTTAGCTGATGCTCATTAAAGGTTGTATTATACCAAAAGAAGAAACTGAAGCTTAGGTTGATCTCTTTATTTTGGCCAAACAACTAGAAAATAGCAGGTACAAAACTTACAGAGAAGTTATTCAAGACTACTGCTACTGTAAATTTGTTACTTGAAAAAAAAACAGTCAATACAATATACAAAACTCAAATTTATAAATATACAAATTAAGGGAAGATTAATTCATTGTTTAAGAAAACTTTTATAATATGAACATCCCTTTCACCTTTGAAATATACATTAATATACCAGGGTTTGACTTATAAACACATACATATTCTCTTAAGACTGTCTATGACATGAAGTGAACATACTGTGATGGAAAATGATTGCATTGGGTCTATATTACTGTCATTTATAAGGTTAGTCAAGTAGAATATCATACTTGATTCAGGAAGGGGTACTTCCATTTTAGGTGTACACATTTCCAATACAGTATTTCTACTTTCTGGGCCTCATATCAAATAGTACATTTATGCAAAAGGTACTTTTCCAGAACCTAAATGCCCTCCCATTCTGTTCTATATTTCTGTTCTCAAATTGAGTTTTCCTTGTCAATTCATTCTACCTTCCTCTAGAGAAGTTTTTTTTTTTTTTTTTTAATCCTCACCCAAGGATTTACTTACTGACTTTAGAGAGAAGGGAAAAGAGGGAAAGAGGAGGAGAGAGAGAAACATCACTGTGAGAGTGAACATTTATCAGTTACCTTCCATACATGCCCTAACTGGGGATCCAACCCACAACCTTTCAGTGTACAGGATCATGCTCCAACCAAGTGAGCCACACCAGCCAGGGTAAAGAAGCTTTTTTCTTTCCTCCTCTGGTGCTAAGATGAATGGATTTAATGGTCTTTGAAGGTGGTGGTGAGGAAAGAACTGCCTTGAGCTGCCATTGCTTTTACTCTTTGGTGAAAGATATGCTGGGCTGTACTGTATTTTCTTTTCTAACCTCTGTTTGCATGTACAATATTGCCTTGTATTTCAGTATTCTAAAGCACATCAGTTCAGAAACAGATCCTTTTCAACTCTCCATTCCCCAGGTTCTTCACCTTTTAATCATATACATAAAGTAGATGTTTCAAACTTTCAAAGAGTGAGGACATTGAGCGTAGGACCAGCTATGCCTGTTTTTCATCCCTCTTCTGTGGCTGCCCCTGATGCATCTCTAAGGATCCCTCCAGGGTTTGGAGGCACAGTTTTGAAAACCACTGCCCTAAATTATTAAAACTAGCAATCTGTCTAACAGACCTATACTTAGTCATTCCTACCCTTGGATAAATTTTTGGCTGTAAGGCATAATTCATCCTCTGAGTTTTTCTGTCCTAGGATTATTGTCCTTTTTGGAAATTTGTGTTGTTAGCCTCATATATTATAAAACTAGAGGCCGGTGCACGAATTTGTGCATGGGTGAGGCCCCTTGGCCTGGCCTGCAGGATTGGGCCAAAACATCCCCTAGGGGTCCCAGATTTCAAGAGGGTGAAGGCCAGGTCAAGGGACCCCACCAGTGCATGATCAGGGCTGGGGAGGGATGCAGGAGGTTGGTTTGCCAGGAAGGGCTTGTGGGAGGGATCCAGAGTGTGTCGGCCCATCTTGCTCAGTTCCAATCAGACCCACTCCAGCAGCAAGCTCACCTGCCGGTCTGCCCTTTGGTGGTAAATGAACATAATAGTGAGCAGTTCAGTTGCCTTAGCATATCATTAGCATATTATGCATTGATTGATTGAATGGCAGGCTGGATGACCAGGCACTTAGAATATTAGGCTTTTATTATATAGGATTGTCAGTTCCCAAACTAGTGTGGGTCTATTTTCTATGTGGAAAAATATGTTCATCTGTGTGGAAGAAATGTCATCTCTTACACCAATTCTACTACTTCTGCTTCTTCCTGCTCCGTATCTAGCTCAGCTTCTCCATGCACATTTGTGTGAGCTCCTGGGCTGAGAACTGGGGCCAAAAGAAAACTAGTATTTTGGAGAGGAAGGTGGAGTAATAGATCTTGTATCTCAGGCTTATAAATGAATATATGGTCTTAAGATGAAGGCTATCTTAGAATTAGGTTCTATGTGTTAACTTTAACTTTTGAACTTGTGATAGAAGAAAAAGATGAGCATTCTCTGCTAAACATTTGAGAATTCTTATGTTTCTTTTTATTTTTTTACTTTGGGGTGTAACTTAAACTAAACTCTCCTACCAAATTCCACTCTTTCCTAGAGTGGAATGCATTTTGTTCCCCCATATTTAAGACCACTTTAACTGGGATTGGATTCCATTTAGAAAATGGCATTCTGTCTTTGCCTCACCCAGTCACATAATCGGAGCTACAAATGAGGACCATTTAATGCTTCATTTGATCTTAATTAACTTCAGAGGGGCCTGTTTAAGTGGGCCATCCTCTGCCATCTTCTGCAGTGTTATTTCGCTCAGCTGGAATGAAGAACAGCTCTTTTAACTCACCAGGGTGTGATGACCTCAGTGAGTTGAGCATTGTTCGCATTCTATAAAAAGCTATTTTTGAACCATGTTATTTAGAAGTTATTGCTCTTCTTTGCTGCAAAAGAAATTTTACAAGAAAATGGCCTTTGTTTCTAATGGTTCATCTATAGTGGCTGGTAGGGCATGCATTTTCTTTGGCATGCCACACCAGGAGGAACCTGGTATTTTGAAGGGGGGTTGGTGATAGATCCTCCCTTCCTCCAACTGATGGACAGATATAACTCCACCTGCAGCCAGACATGCCTGAGCACTGAACCAAATACCCTAAGCCCCCGATTCCTAAGTCCCTAGGTTCCTAATCATAGGCCTTACATGAAACCACCAATCAGCATGTGCTGAGTGCCCTAAGCCCCATCCCTTCTCTTCCCTCCCCTAAAAGGTGCTTGTGTCCCGGCCCTTGCTCTCTTCCACTCCTCTTTCTGGAAGCAGCTGGCAGTGGCACTCTTCTCTCCAGTAAAGTCTGTGTCCTGGCATCCTGGTCTCCAGCTCCTCTCTATTTCATCTTTCAGTTGGTCCTGAGTAGGATGGGTATGAGGCAGGGTTGAGCATTGCTGGGAGAAAGTGGAAGAAACCCTGACTATAGCTGAGATAGCAGAACATACCCTTTCTTTCAACATAATGGTTGGTTTCCCTATAAGTTTTGGAATGAAATCTTAAAAACTAAGGCCTTGTCAAAATTTAGAAGAGATTTGTTATTGGCAGGCTGTGTGGCTGCCCTCTTTGTGTGTAGGTGTGTGTTTTGATGATTTTTGTAACTGTCCTTCCATAGGAGAAACCTACAACTACAATTGGCAGCTGATTACTCATCCTAAAGACTACAGTGGAGAAATGGAAGGGAAACATTCCCAGATCCTCAAACTATCCAAGGTGAATTCATATCCTGTCATTTGCAGAACCGGGTTAGAGGTGTTGACCATTTAAAACAGTTTATAATATAGAATTTTCTGTATGTCGGAAATAATGTTTCAGAAGTGAATCCTTAAAAAATCTTGACTGGCTGACATCCAGTATTTGTTAGTATGTGATTCTCAAATTTTCACTTATGATGAAAAGATTGTATAAGCATAGTGGTGATGGCTTTTGAATGCAAATATATGCTCAACTGCTTTTAAGGGTAACATAAAAATTTTATAATTTGGGAAATAAGGTAGGCTATTTGTGGCCACATGACTGTGTAAATTGGTGCAGACTTTTTTTAGATTCACTGTGGTTATTAAGAACCATAAAAATTTACATATTCTTTAGTCAAGCAATTAACTTCCTTCCTTCCTTCCTCCCTCCCTTCCTTCCTTCCTCCCTCCCTTCCTTTCTTCCTTCCTTCCTTCCTTCCTTCCTTCCTTCCTTCCTTCCTTCCTTCCTTCCTTCCTTCCTCATTCACTTCCTTCTTTACTCATTCACTCCCTTCTTTTCTCATTCACTCCCTTCTTTTTCTTCCTTCCTCCCTTCCTTAACAACTGTTTATTATACACTAGTTAAGTGGCAGGCATTGTTACCAGTGAGTTAATTTACCAGAGATACTGACTGAAAACAAGTAATTATAACATAGGATTCAAGTCAGTGCAGAGGATGTTGAAACCCTGGAGAGTCAGAGTAGATTTTTTAGAGTTTGTCTATAGTTGGGTCATGAAAGGTTATTAATTTAACTGTATAAAAGGTAGAGTGATGATACTATAATCAGGGGAGGTAATATGTCCACTGAGCTAAATATTAGACAGGAAATGTGGGGAAAAGAATTATACGTGGTTCAGCCTGACTAGACCCTGTAGTATGAAAAGAGCAGGGGCACAAATAGGTTGGGGAGATTCAGAGGCCAGATTGCACAGAGCTGTTATAAGGACTTTGATTCTTATCCAGAGGGAACATGGAGCCTTCGAAAGATTTCAAGCATGAGAAGACATGTTCATATTTTCAGCTTAGAAAGATCACTCTGTCCACAGATTGGAGGAGATAAGACTCAAACCAGGGAGACCAGTGAGGAACCTGTTGACAAATGTAGGTGTGAGATGATAATAGCTGAGTAAAACACCCACTAAATAAATAAAAATTTAAAACCAACTATTGAGCTCATTCCATATGCTAGAAACAGCACTTTTATGCAATTATTTTACTTAATCTTTATAATAGACCCAAGATGTAGATATTAATATGTGTTTTATAAATGTTAAAATGAAAAATTGGAAAAATAAAGTGGTTTGGTCAAAGGTTACAAAACTACCAAATGGTACTTTTGAACAGGAACTTTCTGTCTCTAAAGCCCTCCCCCCAGTGCCTTTAACAACTGTGCAATTGATGAATGGTTAAAAGCTAAGGTGATGGCAGTGTGAATGGAGAAGTGATTGGATTGGAGAAATATTATGGAGGTTGTCTTGGTGATAAGACTTGGTGATCAATTAATTGGGTGAAGATGTTGAAGAGAAGTCTAGGATAATTCTAGCCTTTGGCCTAAGCATGTGAGTGGATATTGGTGTGAATGTGGTGGTATTCACTGAAATGAGGAGCACAGAAAGAGGAGCATGTTTAGAGGAGGTTTTTAGATGATTAATTCATTTTTGGACAGAGTGAGTTTGAGATACCTGTGAAACATTTGAGTGCAGGTGTCCATTAAAGGGTAACGGATTGGAGATCTGGGCTAGAGAGATAAATTTACACACCACCTTCAAATAGATGACAGTTGAAGCCATTGTAATAGATGAGGTCATCCAGAGACTGTATAATGAAGAGACAGTCTGTGATTGGAATGTTGGGGAACACTGTCATTAAGGGAAAGAGGAAATTGAAGAAAATGAGGAATGGGCAGGGAAGTGAAAGCCAAGGAAGGGGGAGCATTACAAAAAGAAGGGAATGGTAAAAAACGCTATATGCAGTCAGTTAGCATTACCCAAAGAAGGTAATGCAAAAGAAAGAAAACCTATTTGCCCAAAGGATGTCACAGTAATAGGTTATAATAGTAAAAATTTGGAAACAATTCAAATAGCCAGCAATATGGAATGCCAATATGAATTATGGCACATTTGTTCATATACTTTCCTGCAGCCATTAAAGTGACTATTCAAAAGACTATTATAATGGGGAAAAGTGTTGACACTAAGTGAATGGAAGAAAGAACAATAAAAAATTTGACTCACACTTTGATTTTTAGCTAGACTCTGAATACCATTGACATACAAGCTCCTTGAAGGCAGGGAATCTTATTTATCTCCAAATCCCAGGCCTTGGACAATAACTGGTACATAATTGGTTCTCAATAAATGTTTGTTGAATTGGATGAACTGTTTAAAACTATTGTTTTGTGTGGTGAAGGATTGGGAGGAAATGAGAGATATAGGATTAATTGATGATAAGACAGTGGGATTTTGGGTGATTATTTCTTCTTTTATATATGTTTATACAGTTAGCGAAAGTCAGTAGGGAAAAATAGTCAGATATTTGGGAGCTATTTGGTATTTTTACAAAATGTTTTTCTTTGCAGAGATAATTGTTTTAATTTCATAACGCTGAGAAGTAGGATGGTAGAGCCCTTAATGTTTTTCTTAAAAGAAAATGGGAGTACAGAGATATTGAAATCCCTTCTGTTGTTCCAGAGTCAGCTAGTAATAAAATTCACATTAAAAGCCATGGTTTTTTAATTTATAATTCATTGTTTCATCTCTTTGGTTAGTTTACTTTCTCCATTTTGAAAACAGTGCAAGAAGAGAGTGTAAGAATCACCAGGGGAAAGTTCACATATGTGTGATTTTAAGTATAATTGTTCCTCTTTATGGTTGAATATAAGATTTTCTGTCCTTTTTGCAGCTCACTCAAGGCCTGTACGAATTCAAAGTGATTGTAGATGGTCAGAATTCCCATGGGGAAGGCAGTGTGAATGTGACGGTAAAGCCAGGTATGTTTCTCAGCCCTAACTGTGCCTCCATTGCTCCCTCTGAGGACCCCAAGGAGGGAGATTTGATTTTAGGGGTTTTTAATTTTCATTCTTTTTTTTTTTTTTTTAAATACATTTATTGGGCAATTCCTAATTCAATGTAGAAAAAGGTATAGGGTGGCAAAGTATATTCTTTAGTTCTAGTTGGAGCACTTTGCTGACGTACAGTGCAGTATGGCACTGAGCGATAGCCTGTCTGCCTGAGAACTACTTCTCCAGTGGATCATGCTGAGAGGGGACCATGTGTGGTAATTAAGATACAAGAAAGCCAGGAGCCTAGGAGAACCAGCCAAGTGGCTGGCCCTTTCTGATCTCTTTCCAGAAATGTGGGTCTTTGTACACAGACTTCCTCACAGAGCCCCTGCCGTTCCTCCTTCACATTAAACACCAAATTCCATTATTTTTTTAAGTGATCGGTAGATTACAGTGTGATAGCAAGGTATCTTGTTTTGCATTTTCAGAAATATTTGGAGGAAATTGGCAAGTGGCCCATACATTGGCACAAATTCTTATTCTGTCTTTGTTAATAATAGATTTTCTTTTAATTCCTTTAATTTTGTAGCCAAAGTAATATTTTCTCTTTCTTAAAAATGTGTTTAGCATAAAGACCATTTGATCATTTTTCAATGAAAAGGCCACCGGGCTTGCAATAATTGAGGTGGACTAGAGTGAGTGATTTGTGACCTTTCCAACACTAGGCCTAATCACCTCCCACATAGTCAGCTCCCAGGTGGTTGAGAAATTACTCATCTTTTCGCCACAGTTGTGGCAAGGGATAGTTTGCTTTCCAACGCCTTTATTGCACACATTTTATTTGTTGTCCACCTCTGGTCAGCTGACCTGAAAACAGTCAACTTCTACTTTAGTACTTTTCACAAACTAGATAGCACATGCGCATTGAAAGTATGCACAGGGTGTGGTCTTAAGAATAGTCAGGTTTGCAAGAGGCTTAAACAATCCTAGATGTCTTATGTTAGAATGCCAACCTGGTCTTGTGACTTTTCACGTTTGACGATGCTTCAGACACAGATTAGGTAATGGAAACATTTATAGTCCACCCAGAGGTGGCCTGCTCTTCTTATAATTTACAAAGCCCCTCTTTTAATTTCTTCTGGGTCATTTTCTTGCAGAGCCCCGTAAAAATCAGCCTCCTGTTGCCATTGTGTCACCACAGTTCCAGGAGATTTCTCTGCCAACCACTTCTACAGTCATTGATGGCAGCCGTGAGTACTTACTGGGCACGATGTTTTAGAACAGCATTCATGGGTATTCTGGTTAAAGATTTGGACCAGCCTTCTGTTTAGGCTTCTTGACCACATTATGGGAAGACCAACCATCTGACGTAATTGATTAGGAAGTAAAAACCAGACAGACCCTATTTAAAACCCCCATGTGGCTTGTTTGAAGTAACATTTCTATTCTGAGATGGTAAGAAAGTGGGATTATGCATACATTAGCATGATTTTAGTTGGAACTTGCTGGTTTTCAAATTTTTTTAGATGGAGTTGCCATTCTCAGTTATGGAAATAAAGCTCTTTCCTATCATGGCAAGATGAGTAACTGAGAGTCTTAACTGAGGAGCTCTCATCCAGCCATCACTGCCTAACAAGATTGTCAGCCTTCTCCTGGGGAGGCCTCGCAGAATGTGCTCCACAATCCTGCTTGGCTCACTAACTTTGTCCCTTCGGAGGACAGGAGAGGATCTGGGTCTTTGCCATTTATCCTGGCTATGTGTGTGTAGAAGGTTTCAGGCCTATCATCTCACCTATATTTGCTTGGCTTCTCTTGAGACCCTGTTACCCCGACTATCTTGGCAGAGTTGTTGGCAGAGGTAGCCACTGCTTTAGCAGAGGAATCTCTAGCAGTGTTAGACATTTCATGTAAATAGTTCTGACAAGAGGAGACTAGATGAATAGCAGGCTAAGAGGTAAAAGACAGGACAGGAAGAGGCACTTATGAGAGTGGTAGAAAAGGTTCATAAGTACCATTTCATTTTATATTTGAATAAGTCAAAGTTAAATAAATATGTAAAGGTACAGGGCAAATATCATCCCTGTCTCCCAACTATCCAGTTTTTCTGCAAACAAGCAATGGTATTATTTTATGTATCTTTCCAAAGATATCTTATGCATAGATAAGAAGATACATATACATTTTTATGATAAAACAGTATGTATAATGCCTGTTTTTCTATGTTGAATAATTTTTCTGAATCAATATATGAAATACTTTATTCTTTTTTCCTTTTAATGATTACATAGACTTCCATTATATGGATGTACAATTTCATTGTTTGAATAAATCTTGTTTTCAGTCAATCTCTATTGATGACCATTTAGATTATTTTTGATCTTTCACTATATAAATAATGTTACTATGAATAATCTTGTAAGTATGATGATGAACACATATGTAAGGATATCTGTAGGATAAATTCCTAGAAGAAGAATTGCAGGGACAAAAGTAAATTTGGCCAAATTGCTCTTTACAGTGGTATCAATTTATGCTCCCACCATGACTTAAGAAAGTTCCTCTTTCTCCACACCTTTACCCATTTATGTGTCATGAAGCTTTGATCTTTACCAATCTGATAGGTTTAAAAATGCTATCTCAAGTGAAATTTAAATTTGCATTTCTTTTAAGTGAGGTAGATTATCTTTTCATGCATTTAAGAATTTTTTATTTTCCTTTTCTTATGCAGTAACTTTTTAACCTGAGTTGCCTGTGGTGGAGTCCTTGGAAAACTATGCAGTGGAATAGTCAGAGAGGCAGAATGACCCAATATTCGTAGGGAAGAAATAATCTGGAGAGATAGCCTCTAATTTCATGAAGTTTCCCTAGCCTCAAATCTCTATAGGTAGTTGCCCTCATTTGTGTAAACTGAATAAGTGCTGAGACAAGGCGCTCTCATATTGTAACCAATGTTTCTTTATGATCAAGAAAGCACTGATGATGATAAAATCGTCAGGTACCATTGGGAAGAACTAAAGGGACCTCTGAGAGAAGAGAAGATTTCTGAAGATACGGCCATATTAAAACTAAGTAAGCTCGTCCCTGGGAACTACACTTTCAGGTAAATTCAGTATCCTTCAAGTTTACCATTGGCCTTTATTTTCCTTATGCGTTCTGCATTCTTACAGGAGTAACTCTGACAGATACCACTTTAATTGTAGAGTGGCTGAAAATATAGCCTGTGGTTCCATTGGTTCTTTGAGCCCTACAGTAAGTGTGGTCACAACACAAATAACTTTTTTTTTTTTTAATATATATTATTGATTTTTTACAGAGAGGAATTGAGAGGAATAGAGAGTTAGAAACATCGATGAGAGAGAAATATCAATCAGCTGCCTCCTGCACACCCCCCAGTGGGGATATGCCCACAACCAAGGTACATGCCCTTGACCGGAATCGAACCTGGGACCCTTCAGTCCACAGGCCAACACTCTATCCACTGAGCCAAACTGGTTTTGGCCACAAATAACTTTTTAGGGCAAAAGCCCTTGCATAATAGATTAGGATCCACCACAGTTAGTCCTTTTCAAAGTCTTACCTGGCAGTTCTCCAGGCATTTTTAGGATTTCTGTCATTAAGTGAAAGGACCCATCTTTCTTTGCCTTTTCTCAGGCATAATCTATCATGAACCTACTACCATCTTATCTTTTCCCTATGAGAAATGCTTCTTTAACTTAATATCTCAAAACCTTTACTTTTAAAAAATGTATTTTTTTATTGATTTCAGAGAGGAAGGGCTAGGGAGATAGAAACATCATTGATGTGAGAGGATCATTGATTGACTGCCTCTACAGGCCTTACACTGGGGATGAAACCTGCAACCTGAGCATGTGCCCTGACCGGGAATTGAACTGTGACCTCCTGGTTAATAGGTCAATATATTTGACACATGGCTTATTTGAATATGAATTGTAGGATCTTTCTCTATTAAGGCTTTTTGGAGAATTTTATTTAAAGAGAATTCTTTTTGGGAACTAGTGTAAACATTCTAGAATATGATTAATTAGAGTGTGAGGCTGACTAGAGTAATCCTTCTTACATTTGCATAATTCCTTGTTACAAAGTACTGTATCATCCAAATATCATATGTACATGATACTGTTCTCATTTTATATCTGAGAAAAATGAGGCTCAGTGTATTTAATAAACTGCACTGAATTGCAGATTTTCTAATTCCCATGTCAGGGCTCATTCTACTCTGTTTCTTGACTTGACCCATATGTATTTTGTTTGCTTCCCAGAATGTTCTTCTCAGTCTGTTGGAGTTCTGCCTATCCTTAGGGGCCTACAGTTTTCTTTGAGGCTCTCTTAGATCCCTCCAGACAGGAGAGAAGGTTGCACTCGGTGCTCTTATGTGATGCCTATCACAGTGCACCAGCTTATTCTTGGGTGTTTGTGTTCCCCACCAGATCTAATATTAATCAAGTTTTAGACACTACCAGAGACACAGTGATGAATGTCGTAGCACCACATCTACCATATAAATACATATGCAGGTTCTGACTTAGCAGCACTGTTACTGACTCAAGACTTCAGGAGAATGAAAGGTAGCTGCCATTTACCAAGGTTGAAGCCTTTTCATTGGCTTAAAATGGAAAAGTGGATTGATTTTTCTTAGATTTCTAATATAGGAATTTTAACATTTATGGAATTTTACCAGGGCTAGGTTGATGTTTTGAAAAATAACTACTGGTTTTTAAACATTTACTATGTGTTTCGTACTGTTCTGAGCTCTTTGCAAGCAGAAAGCCATTAAAACCTTACAAAATATTATAATTACTTTATTTTATAGATTAGGAAATTTAGGTACCAAGAGGTTAAGTAACTTGCCCAAGATCACAGAAGCAGTCTGAGCTTTTAACCAAGGTTAAAAACAGCATTTCACATGGATAGGGTATTAGGGATCTATTCTTTTTTTCCAAGCCTCAGTCTATGAAATGACGGGGTTGAGTTTGATTAGCATTTAGGTCCAATCTGATTCCACTCATTTTTCCTCTACCCTGTTTTTACATGGCAGTATCTTTTCCCCAGCCTGCGGTCAGCTGCTGTTTGTTTCCAGCATTCTGGTGTGTAAGCTAGGGATCGAGGTGAAAGTCGGTAATGGCAGCTTCCATTTTGCCACCTATCTATAACTTGCTTTTATTCTGAAATAGGAGATAAATAGTATATGAAAAAAAAACCCAAAAAACAAAACAAAACTGAAAACAACAGGCAAACTGGAAAATAAAACTTCTGTGGATTTTTCTTCTGATGTATGATTTGCATATCTATGCATCTGATGTTTTTGTGCTCTTTTTCTCAAAGTAATACCAAAAATCCTCTCCATAAGAAAAGGTGAGGCTGTGGGAAACCCCCACAGATGCCTGGCTCTGTCTGTGGCTGGGGGTGAGATTTAGACATGTCTTTTTTTATGCTTTTTATCTTTCTGTCAGCAAAATAGAAGGAGCCCAAACCTCCTTGCTTGCTTATGCTCACATTTTGAGCTTTAGGCTGTTCACCTGGACAGCATCATTTAGGTAACTGCCCTGTTCTTATAAATGAACATTATTTTTCTCTCTCAAATCCTGTTTCACACTGGCACAAACTGTGAGACTGTTGCATGAGAGAATTCATTTCCATCTTTGGCTCCTGTCTTACCACAACCAGCCCTACTAGTCCATCCCAGAGGCTGACTGCTCAGGATGGCCATTCCTGTGCGTGTACATAGCTGAAAAGGAGGGTGGGGAAGAGAGCCTGTTGCAGTCAGAGCACTAGTTAATGTAGCGTTTCTGTACCCCATAGGAATAGGGACCAGGGACTCTCTCTCAAGACTTGGTTTTGCCGAAACTGGTTTGGCTCAGTGGATAGAGCATCGCCTGCGGACTGAAAGGTCCCAGGTTCAATTCCCGTCAAGGGCATGTACCTTGGTTGCGGGCACATCCCCGGTGGAGGGGTATGCAGAAGGCAGTTCATGAATATTTCTTTCTCATCGATGTTTCTAACTAATTTCCTCTCTGTAAAAAATCAATAAAATATATATTTTTTTAAAAGGTTTCTAGGCGTGGGAGCCAGAGAACTAACTGGGCTTGCATTTTGGCTCACGGGGTGCTGGGCAGGTTACTTAGCCTCTCTAAGTTACTTGTAGATAGAGATTGCTGATTGCTGTGAGGGCTAGATCAGACCATGCTTGTACCAGTCCCAGCTTACAGGTACATGCAGGCAGCAGAGCAAACAACGCTGAATATATAATAACATGGTTATTGGGCTCAGGTCCTAACTCCACTACTTTCAAGTTACTTGACCTCTCTTTGCCTTAGACCCTCATATGTGTAAGGAGTGAAATGAAGATAGGACCTTATAGAGCCGTTGTTCACTGAGTTCTAGACCACTTGGAACAGGGCCTGGTACACAGTGACCCCTCAGTCAGTGTTAGCTTCTAGTATTACTCTGCCTTTCTAAGAGGAATGGTAAGAATTGGCTACTAATTAGTAACCCTTCCACTCTGGTATTTCTTATTCTTGATTTTCAGTCCTCTTGTGTTTCTTCTTCTTTACTGAAACCATCCCTGAATGCACTCCTCTCTCTGCCCTGGTAGCTTGACTGTAGTAGACTCTGATGGAGCTACCAACTCGACCACTGCAAACCTGACAGTGAACAAAGCTGTGGATTACCCCCCTGTGGCCAACGCAGGCCCCAACCAAGTGATCACCCTGCCCCAAAACTCCATCACGCTCTTCGGGAACCAGAGCACTGATGACCATGGCATTACCAGCTATGAGTGGTCGCTCAGCCCCAGCAGCAAAGGGAAAGTGGTGGAGATGCAGGTAGGAGGGAAGAGTTTGTCTTTTCTTGCCCAGGTGAATTAGAGTTACTGTACTGGATCACCCATCCAAGGCTTGTTTTTGCTGTATTTGAATTACCAAAATCAGATTTGTGCATAGAATATTTGAGGTTTTTTAAATCCACAAAGTTTAAGGAGCCTTTAACTAACATACTATCAAAAACCTGTGTCTTAAATGTTTCATATCAGAAGAAAAGACTGGATGAGAAATGGTAGTTGCTCTAGGATGATTCCAGAGAGTCAGACTACTTAGAAAGTGCAGGGGTGTGACGCTTACAGATTGGAGTAGATTGCCCAACTAGTTGGTGAGCCCTTCGCTGCAGATATTTAGTAAGAGGCTGGATCTGTCACCACACAGGTGACACAAGTAAGTAAGGAAAACTGGATGGGGCTGTGGTGAACCAGACAACCTAAGCCCTGACTAAAGGGGCCAGCTGCTCCTCAGGCCCAGCTGGTTGTGGCCAGATGGAAGTATGGCCCATTATTATCAGGAAATAGAGACCTTTATGTGAAAGTTTACAACCTTTAAGGCATATAGGCCAAACAAACTGTCTGCAAGAGGCTGTCAGGTTTGCCCACTCGTTGGCGTTTGTCCTGAGTGATATGTACTGTTCCTGTGACACTTGGGACTACGTTTCTAGATTTGAGGCATGACCTGAAGCTCACGTTTCACTTGGGTTTAGTTTAAGCATTGTGCTGGGTTTCTCTGCTGCTGAGAATCTGCACAAATCTGTAAGGGGACAGCACAGTGTGACAACATCCGGAATTGCTGCCATGTTTTACTGAGCACTTCATTAGGATCACTGTGTAACCTTTGTAGGAAGAACACTTTTAATTATTTATTTATTAATGAATTTTATTTTTTTTACAGAGAGGAAGGGAGAGAGACAGAGTCAGAAATATAGATGAGAGAGAAACATCAATCAGCTGCCTCCTGCACACCCCCCACTAGGAATGTGCTCACAACCAAGATACATGCCCTTGACCAGAATTGAACCCAGGACCCTTGAGTCTGCGGGCTGATGCTCTACCCACTGAGCCAAACCAGTTCCTGCAAGGAAGAACACTTTTAAAATATTGTGTTGTTATATATTCATGGTCTTTTTTCTGCCTTTGGTCTTAGAGGCTGATGTTGGTTGGTTATCTTTGTACATTTCCCTGTACTCCCCTCCTTTGTGAGAGCTCTGATATTATTTGAAACTGCTTCTGTATCAGAGAGGGTTGTTCCCTTTAGGGAGGAAGCTTTTTAACAAGATGTCCCACAGCGTCTGATCCAGCATTCACTAATTTTGCTGAACTCTAGGAAGTAGTAGTCTAATATTAAATAGGTTTAGAAAACTGGGTCTCTTAGACCCAAGCAGGACTTAGCGTATGATGTTGTGACTCTGGGAGGCTGCTTTTCCATGGTCTGTATTTCTATATCCAGGGTGTTAGAACGCCAACCCTGCAGCTCTCTGCCATGCAAGAAGGAGACTACACTTACCAGCTAACAGTGACTGACACAATAGGACAGCAGGCCACCGCTCAAGTGACTGTTATTGTGCAGCCTGGTAAGTCCAACCTTTGAGGTGCAGGCTCTTCTATTGGCTGGTCCCTTTAACCTTGGGGAGAAGAGGGTTTGGGTTCTGAGCAGTAGGAGGCGCCAATCCACTGAGCCCCTGGCAGCTTCTATTGTCTTTGTAACTTCTGTTGTCCATTCCCCTAGCCCTGTGGTTAGCAAACTGTAGCTTGTGAGCCACATATGGCTCTTTGGCTCCTTGAATGTGGCTCTTCCACAAAATACCACGGCCTGGGCAAGTCTATTTTAAAGGAAGTGGCGTTAGAAGAAGTTTTAAGTTTAAAATATTTGGTTCTCAAGAGGAATTTTAATCGTTGTACTGTTGATATTTGGCTCTGTTGACTAATGAGTTTGCCGATCACTGCCCTAGCCTCAGCTTATCCCTTGCCCTGGGCTAATGTGCCTTCAAGTATACATAAAAGGTAGAATCTCTGCCATCCCAAATCCTGTCATGTGTCTTTTAAGGACCAGCTTCAAGCCTACTTCCCTAAGAAAGCTCTGTCATATCACTCATACCCTTTCCTTTGAACTCCTAGAGCATTGTATTTCCCATTTAGCATGACATTGTAACTTCATTAAGTTCTGCCATGTTCTTTCAGAAGTGTTCTATGTTTCAGTCTTCTATTCTGCATTGTGAGTTTCCTGATCACACCCCAGTACAGAGCTGTCCCACAGTGTCTGACCATCTCTGGGCAGAGAAGCAGAGACCTCATGGCTTCCAGAATTAATGCCCCAATTGGATCCTCTCCTTGCCCAGCTTACTGCCTGCTTCTGATCTATGTGCCTCTGTCTTCTAGAAAACAACAAGCCGCCACGGGCAGATGCAGGCCCAGATAAAGAGCTGACCCTTCCCATGGATAGCACAACCTTGGATGGTAGCAAAAGCTCAGATGATCAGAAAATTATCTCATATCTCTGGGAAAAAACACAGTGAGTATTGGCACAAAGCCTTACTTATGCAAAGGCTCCAGACATTTGCAGAGCAAGGCTTTACTTATTTTTTTAGTGTACTTGCTGTGCCCTGATTGGGTGGTTCAATTGGTTGTAGCATCATCCCATGCACCAAAAGGTTGCAAGTTTGATCCCCAGTTGGGAATGTATAGAAGGTAACTGGACGATGTTTCTCTCCCCCACCTTTATTCTTCCTCCCTCCCTTCAGTCTCTAAAAATCAATAGAAATAAATAAACAAATTTAAAAATCAGTTAAAATATTCTTAGGCAAGTATTATAAAAAAATATTTAAGTGCTTACTTGCTCTTGTTGGCTTATTCAAGGGGGCTGTGACTAAGAAAGAAAGGTTTGCAATGCTAAACTTCAATGCTAAGAAAATGATATGTTAATTTTTGTAAGAAATAAAGAATGCTTACCATCAGCTAGTCCCCAGGTAGTATTTTGCAGTCCTGATGCTTTTACAGGTGTAATCCATCTGCTGAAATGCATAGTTTAATTACACTTGAGAGGCAAGATAGAAGGGGTAATGGAGCAGAAAAATACTGTTGCTCACAATTAACTGGGTAAGGCTGGCAGGGGGATGGGACAGAGCAGCTATCAAGGAGAATTGAAAATTCATCTATAAAATGAAAGCATTGCTCTATTACTGTATCATTGAAGACCACACTTTCCAACTACATTAGCCAGAGGCAAAAGTCAGCGACTAAATAATACTAATTATAATGGAACCATCCCCCAAAACCGGTTTGGCTCAGTGGATAGAGCCTTGGCCTGCGGACTCAAGGGTCCCGGGTTCGATTCCGGTCAAGGGCATGTACCTTGGTTGCGGGCACATCCCCAGTAGGGGGTGTGCAAGAGGTGGCTGATCGATGTTTCTCTTTCATTGATGTTTCTGACTTTCTATCCGTCTCCCTTCCTCTCTGAAAAAATCAATTTTATATATATATATATATATATATATATATATATATATATATATATATATATAATATATATATATATATATTATATATATATATAATGGAATCACCTAATTTTGAACCATTCCTAGCTCTGTTTCTTTCAGCTCCTTTAAACCATACAACTGGAACTCAAAAGTAGTGAAAGAATTCCAAGGAAGAGTTAAAAGTTAAAAAGGAGCTAAATTTTTGTTTCTACAGGTAGCAATCATAGAATAGACTGGGTGTTTTGTTTTTGGTCAGGGTCATTAGAGGTGGATGGGAAAGGGCTGTAAATTGGACTACAGAAACTACTGTGGTGAGTTGGATTGTAGAAATTATTTTTCTCAGCTCTTGTTTCTATCTTTTGGAGAACCTATTCTTTCTTCTTCAGCCCCATGTGTTTTAATTTTAAGTATTGAAGATACTAGTGATGAATCTTTTGGTTGAGTTTTATTAGCGTTTACAGCAGAAATAATGCTTATTAGCAAGCTTCATTGGGGAGAATCTGTTTCAGGAGGGGCTACTAGGACCAGAGGTCATAAGTTTAAATAGCAAAACAAAACAGGAAAGTCTACAGATTTCTCTGGTTGTCCTGTAGTTTTAAGGAAAGCTCTGGGGCATTTTGACTCTTGAGCAGAAGGAGTGTGTGTGCAGTGTTGTGCCTGGGTGTCAGCACACAGCTCACTCGCCTGCTGCAGGCTGCTGAGTGAGGCCCCAGGGGAGAAGGAAGGATGCCCGGTGTGCCAGGTCCCCTGTGGTCCCTGTCTGGGAGCTGGCGGGAGCTTTGCTTCCAGAGCCACTAGGAAGAGGAAGGTTTTGCCCTGAGAATTGCTCTGCAGCTTTGGCCCATTTCCTTTCTCTGACTTTTCAGAAAGAGTGAGTTTGGCATATGATTAAGAAATGTGTTTTGCTGCTTTGCTGGCAAGAGCTGGACCAACTACTGGGCCAGAAATACTTTTCAGAAACATCTCTATGAAATCATTCGTTAGATCAGAGACCTGCTTAGAACACTTTCTTCCTTTTACAAACTGGAACAGCAAAGAGTTTGAATGTTCTAGAAGCTCATATAAAGGATAAGGCTAGATCTGTTTGAAAACTGGTGAATGGAATTTTCTGATCAGCAGGTAGCCTGTATTGTGGGGCCAAATGACACTCTGTCCAAATGGGATATTTTAAAATTTGTCCTCTCAAGGTCTGGGAAACAAGTTCATGTCTCATCTGAGACAATAATTGTCTGTACCTGCTGAGTCAGGGACAGGACAGCAGCAAACAGGTACATCGCCAGCCTCTGGTTTCTCTCTTTGTCCAGGGGACCTGATGGGGTGCAGCTCGAGAAGGCTAACAGCAGTGTCGCCACTGTGACTGGGCTGCAAGCGGGAACCTACGTGTTCACCTTGACTGTCAAAGATGAGAGGAGCCTGCAGAGCCAAAGCTCTGTGAATGTCATTGTCAAAGAAGGTACCTCCCTGCCCTGGTGGTGCAGCAGCCTCAGGGTTAAATAACTGAGGGATTCGTCATCTCTTGTTCGGCTGCAGAAATCGATTTAGAGACAGGGTGTGGGGAAGAAAATGAGGGTAAGGGCAGCTGATACTTGCTTTTCTAAAACAATTTTCATTGAGAGTGATTGTTTCATTTCTTGCATTCCCTTCTCTCCCTTTCTCCTTTCCTTCGTTCTCTATTGAATAGGGAAATAATTTTTTTGTTTGTTTGCATTTTTATTTTGCCTCTGTGCTGCTAAGATCTGGGGTTTCTGTGACGCTCCCACTAGCTACAGTGACACCTGCTGTCAGACTTCAGAATGACTGTCCTGCACTGGCTTTTGTGCTTTTCCTAGGAATCTGCAGGCTGAAGCCAATGTGAGACAAGAGTTGATTAGCCTTGCTCTGGTTTGCAGGCTCATGATCAGCAATGGCCTCAAGAGAGGGCTCCAAGCTGACAGTAGGAAAAACCATCAGATACTATCCATATTATTCATATTTTAAAGAGAATTGTGGTATCAGCTGGATGAAACTTAAACTCCAAGGCTTTAATCCAACTTGAGCTTTTGTTTCTAATTATCATATACCTCCAAAGGACAGAAATGGGTTCCCTTCGGGGAGGCTGCTGTGGGAAGAGAGGAGGAAACTACACGTGTCCCCTCTGCTGTATGGGTCAGAGAGTATTTCTCTATGGGACTGGAGCCTCAGGACCTGTGGCAATGGTGGCTTTAAATCTACACCTTTAGCCCTGGTCGGTTTGCTCGGGGGTTAGTGTCAGCCTGTAGACTTGAAGGGGCATGGGCTCAATTCCTGTCAAGAGCACACACCTCAGGTGCAGGCTCGATCCCTGGCTCCGGGCAGGATGTGTGTGGGAGGCAACCAACCGGTATGTCTCTCACCTCGATGTTTCTCTCTCTGTCTCTGTCCCTCCCTTTTACTCTAAAAATCACTGGAAAAATATCCTTGGATGAGGATTAACAAAAAAATAAAAAATTGATGCTGTTAGTTGCTTGTATGGATAGACTCTAAAAACAGTTCTCCATTTAATTCCCCATAAACATCATGAAGAAGCACTTCCTTTCCCCCCCTAGAATATTATATGATTTCAATGATTTCTCTTTGCTTAGAAACGAACAAACCACCTATAGCTAAGATAACTGGGAATGTAGTGATAACCCTGCCCACGGACACAGCCGAGCTGGATGGCTCCAAGTCCTCAGATGATAAGGGAATAGTCAGCTACCTCTGGACTCGAGATGAGGGGAGCCCAGCAGCAGGGGTAAGTGTGCCAGGAGCTGGAGAGCAACACATGTTCCAGGGGGAGAGATGGGGAGAGGGGGCTGAGCCAGATGGTCTACTGTTCTAACCAAGTGGTTTCTTATATCAAACCTGGATTGCTCTCTGAAATCCAGGGAGGTTAAATGACTTGTCTAGGGTCACTCTGCAAGCTAGTGTGGCACAGGATGTGTTTCTCTTCCCTAACCCGAGCAGCCACGGGCTGCAGTGCTGTTCCAGAGCAGAAGCTACTGGAGGTAAAGCAGTCCAGCTCAGAGGGCCTCGTGGTGACAGAGCAGCAACTGAGTCCATGGAAGGAGTTTATGTTGTTTTGCAAACATAACCATGTTATTCAACCCCACAGGAGGTGTTAAATCACTCAGATCACCACCCTATCCTCTTTCTTTCCAACCTGGTCGAGGGAACCTACATATTTCATCTGAAAGTGACTGATGCGAAGGGTGAGAGTAACACAGACCAGACCACTGTGGAGGTGAAACCTGGTGAGTTCATTTAGTGATGAGACTGAGTGGAATTTCTGAATAAACCAAGCAGGGCCTCCTTCCTGAGGCACCTTCTCCCCAGCATGGACAGAGCCAGATTTTTAAAAAAAATCTAGAAACCCCAAGCTGAAAAATCCTTAGAGTTTGTCTGTTCCAACATTACCTCTCCTACCCACACAGGAATATGGACCTCCTCCTCCTCATCTCAGATGGAGAAACAGAAACTCAAAGTGGTTGTGTCAGAGCCGGGCCTTTGTGCCCAAGTCCAGCACTTCCTGCTGTACATGTGACTGATGGGAGAGGGTACCCTGGGGATCTGAGCACAGGAATAACTTGAGTCATGATGTCTCATCAGCACCCAAATGCAGAAAACATTTATTTTTATAAGTTAAGCCTCAGGCTTTTTCTGACAATCCAGGGAAGGTAAAGTAACTGGTGTCCTTTATATTTTTTCAGGTTTGCAGAAATAAAATTTCCTTCTTAAATAGAACCACGTTTTTATTTTGCTATGAGGCTAATTTGGTTTTAGAGAGGAAGTGAGTGTGAAGTGGGGTAGAGCTTGATAAATTTCTGAGCATCTGATGAGGAGGGATTAACTTTGAACCCGCTCTTTATTATCTAGGCCAAAACTGTGTATCGGTATCTGAAAGGATCTTGGCAGATCTTCCAGGCCTTGTCCCATCTCTGAAGGACAGCACCCAAGTTCACTAGAGAGTCTCTCCTGGGGCCTCGCTGGTTTGACTCAGTGGATAGAGTATTGGCCCAGAGATTCTGGTTGGGGGCACATATCTTGGTTGTAGTCTCCTCCCTGTCAGGGCGCACGCAGGAGGCAACCGATCAATGTGTTTCTCTCACATTGATGTTTCTCTCGGTCTTTCCCTCTCTGCTCCAATCTCTCTAAAAGATCAATAGAAAAATATCCTCATCACATTGTCCATTAATTATGTAAATTATACATCAGGACAGGCAAATGTTGCATTCAAGTGTGTGAATAAAGTATTCTGAATAATCACTGAACTTCCAAGTGTAGCACAGTCCGTCTTTAGGACATAATCAAAAGTAAAGCAATGGCTTCCCAGTTCTAAGTTGTAAAAACACCATGTAGCTATGTGAGGTGGCTCTACGGAAATCCTGGATTCTGGGATCCTTGTGCCTGATTTCTTTTGTGTTGACTGTTTTAAACCCACAGGGCAGATGCATTCCCATTATTGATAAGAAGTTTGAGATGGACATTGTCCCTCCCATTGTTGTAGACAAAGTACACCAGTCCCTGAAAATCAGATGTGGATCAGGAGAGGTTGCTAGATAAGTCTACCCACCCTGGAGAGTTCAGCAAAGCCAGTTGAGAGGCTTTCAAAGCATGTTTCTCTCTCCCCCACTCCCTTTACTAAACCTCGTTGCCTCCCTGACACCACCACCACCACCGCCCCCCACCACCCCCACACACCCCCAGCACATGGTGGTAATTCTCAGGTTGACATAGGGACCAGGAATCCTTTTGAAACTCCAACGCCATTTCTGTAGGCTCTCATTCCTTCCTCTCCTGTGCCAAGGCACATGCACAGTGGTGGGTCTGTGTTACTTCTCCTTCTCTAAAGCCATGACTAATCCACATGCTTTCCAGATCCCAGGAAAAACAACCTAGTGGAGATCATCTTGGATGTCAACGTCAGTCAGCTGACTGAGAGGTTGAAGGGAATGTTCATCCGCCAGATTGGGGTCCTCCTGGGGGTGCTGGATTCCGACATCATTGTGCAAAAGATTCAGCCGTACACGGAACAGAGGTAGCTGGGCAATGAAGTGGGGGAGAAAAGAAAGACCAACGCCGCCCCTCACCCCCCAGGCTTTGTGACTGAGCTGAGAAATAGTGTGCGTAGATAGAGAAGATGGGTCCTCTGACCAGGAACCACTCGTGGTATCCATTTCTTTAATGAGCTCTCTCTTCAGCCATGTGTCACATGCTCTGCACTAGACACTGCTGCAAGGTGCCAGGGCACCAGGTCAGAAGAGGTCCATTGTGTTTGAAGGCCATTCTAGTAGGGAAATAATCAGGTAAACATCAGTTCAGGATGGGTTTGACAGAATGTGTGGTGTCGTGGAGGCACAGAGGCAAGGGTAATTAATTCTTCCAGAGGTTGGGGTAGGCGATAGTCCAAAGATTCTTCCCAAAGTAAACTTGCATTGGTCAAGCTTAGGGAAATCAGGAGGAAATTCAGGATGGGGGAACAGCGTTGGTCTGATGGTGTGAAAGCACAACAATCCCTCTGGAAGAAATCACAGGTTCAGAGAGCTTACTGCGCCCAGAATGTGGTAGAAGGTAAGACTGCTGTGTAGATTGAGAATAGTCATCTGCAAGTCAAGAAGTTTATATTTTGGGCTGGAGGACTCAAGTTAGTTGTATGTACCTGAAGTTTTTGTTTTGATATTAAAGCAAGGAGATTGGTGGTGGTTGTATAAGGGAGTTCAGTAGTGTGAAGGCTAGATTGAAATAGGAAGACCAAAGACTGGAAGACCAAGCAGCAAGCTTTGGAGTAGTCTAGTAAAAAGGTAATAAAACCTGATTAAGGTAGTTGCAATGGAAACAGCGGAGGAGGAGAAAAAAATAAGAAGAAATTCAGGGGTAAATCAACAGGACTTGGAGACCCTGTGAGGTTTCAAACATGAGGCTTTGGATTTGGATGCCTGACAGATGTGAATGCCATTAATTGAGATCAGCGATATAGAAAGAATCAATTTCAAAGAAAAGATATATGTTCAGTTTTGACTATTTAACTTGGTGTGTCTATGGGTTGCATGGGGAGATGTTTTATCAGATAGTAGCAAGTATAGGCAGGAACTTGGGGTGGAGGAATAGCCAGAGAGAGGGAGTCTGTCTCCGAGCAGGAGTCAAAGCCATGAGGACAGATGAGATACACCGGGAAGTGTCAAGAGGGCTGAGGACAGAGCTCTGGAGAACGCATATTTAACAAGGAAAGAAAGAAATAGAGGGGCTGGAGGAGAACCAGGTGGGGCTGGTCTGCTGTAAGTTAAGGATTCAGATGCTTACAGTGACGCAGGTGTGGTAAACACATTTTACTCAGATGTTGGGGGACAGAGGACAAATTCATTGTATGGTTTGAGGACCCAGAGGTGGAAAGCGTAGCGCCTCTTTGAAGAGGTTGGTGCTGAAAATAACATGAGGGATAAGATCAAAAGAACACCTTGAAAGACAGGAAATTCTTGAATGTTTTCTCAGACCGAGGGGCAGGTGCAGGGAAAGTAGACGGGCGTGTAGAGGCTGTAAAGGGACGGAGGTCTTGGGGACTGGCCCTCGTCGAGAAGCGCCAATCGAGATGGAGGAAAGGAGGGAAGATGTGCTTTTAGGTGAATTTATAGGCAGAGAGCATGAAGCTTGAGACCCTGTGTTTCGTCTCTGAAACTGGAGACAGTTTCTCCTGCTGGAGGAGGTGGGAATCGATGGCAGCATGAGGAAAGTGGAAAGGTTGCAGGTAATGTAGGTGTCTCAGCCAAGGTGAGAGCGGTGGTTCCCAAATCACTGGACTTTGATGAACATCATTCCCGAGCCTCTCCCACAGGTCATCTCACTTGGTCTAGAGCAGCGGTTGTCTGTGAGGTCCGAAAGGTGGTGACCGCTGGCCTAGGCATGGTCAGCAAACTGCGGCTCGCGAGCCACATGCGGCTTTGGCCCCTTGAGTGTGGCTCTTTCACAAAATACCACAGCCTGGGCGAGTCTATTTTGAAGAAGTGGCATTAGAAGAAGTTTAAAAAATTTGGCTCTCCAAAGAAATTTCAATCGTTGTACTGTTGATATTTGGCTCTTTTGACTAATGAGTTTGCTGACCACTGGTCTAGAGCAATGGTTCCCAGTGTGGGTGGAGCACACGCCCCACAGGGGGGCAGTTTGACTTTTAAGGGGGACAAGTCAAGAATGAGTTATTAACAGTGAATTTTTTGCATTTCTTATGGTTCTAGGGCCTCGTATACAGTATATAAATACATATCGTGACATATTTATGCATTTCACTTCTCTATTATATGTTTTGAAACTTTATTTGCTATTTTTTCTTATCTCTTCATACTCTTGTTGTTAACAGTTTCTTAGTGATTTCTTCCTCAGTACTTCAACTGTCCTTTCGTTCTTTTGTTTTTCTCTTTTATGGATGCCATGTTCTTTTGGAAGCTTGTTAGACCAAGTTAATGGTCTTCTAGGCTTCCTCTATGTGAATAGGAGTTCACTTTTTGAATAATAAGAATTACATGTCATGGCGGGGGAGCATCAGGATTTTAGAGATGCTTAAGTGGGGCATAGCCAAGAAAGGCTGGGAACCTCTGGTCTAGAGTGAGGTTTGGGCTCCTAAAGTGTAAAAGCTCCCCAGGTGAACCTGGGTCAGAGACAGCGTGGAGATTTAGGACTTTTTGTAAGCTCTGCTCAGCAGCCTGGGAGCAGGCAGGGATCCGTCAGGCTGGTGCTGTCGGCTGGATACAGGCAGTGGAAGCAGTGAGAGTGTGGCCAGAGCACTGTGGAAGGGTTGGCTCGCAGACTTGCTGCCCCGCATCAGGCGTGAGGGAAGAGAGGAGCATCACAGTGGCTGGGTTTCTGGCTCAGGTTTGGTTGGCTTAGTTGAGGAATGTTGGAGGGACTGGATACTGGGAAGGAGGGAGTTAATAAAGTGGGAAAGAGCATGGTTACCTCCCCTCTCCAAACCTGTTCTAGCAGTAAAAATGCCAGTACCCATTTTATAGGCTTGTTATTGAGGATCCAATAATGTAATGTTTGTATCGTCCCTAATGCACAGTAAGCGCCCAATTAATGGTTGTTATAGGTTTATTTTGAGACATGTTGGATTCAAGGTGCCTGTGGAATATCTAGGACAGATATTCTAGCAAGCATTAAAGATAAAGATTTGGTCACACAGGAGAGATGGGGAAAGGAGTTTAAAGATTTGAGTTACTGGTTTATAGACAGAAATTGAAACTACCCATAGATTAGATCACTATAAGAAAATGAGAAAAGGACCGCAGATCTTTTATGGTAAAGATTTGTTTCTTGATTCTAGGATTTACGTTAACCATTGTTAGCCTTTTTGTATAGTAGGCTTTTAGAAAGACTTTTATGCCAGTGCTTCCCAAACTTTTATGTCATACCACACAGGAAATTATGCCATTTACATGGCACTTTGGAATAAACAGAGTTACACTGTAAGCAGCGGGTGCCACCCAGCCATGCTGTGTGTGTGGAGGGCAGCAGTGTCTTGGGCACACCTAGAACCCGTGTGGCCCCTGCTGGAGAAGGTTCGGTCTGAGACTAACAGAAGTAAAAAGGCGGGCTACCCACAGAGGAAGCCACCCAGAGAACAGATTTGGTGCCACCCAGGTGTGAGTTCAGACATGGTCTGCCTTGGGTAGAAACTGACAGAAAGCAAACAGATTCTGGGCCTGGAGTAACAATCTCGTTTCAGCCACACCATCGTGTAGTCTTGTTACTGTCGGAGTAACGATGGTTTTGGCCTGTGGGTAATTATTGGATGCCGTCTGATAATTTACATTTTACAAAGCATTGTAGCCTGTCATACAAGTAACGCAGGCACAAATCCAACAGCACCACAGTCTTAGCTGTTAAAAGACTGACAGCAGGGATGTGGTCATAACCAAATCCCCATTTTCCTGGCCTCTGGTTACCTGTTTGGTAGGATCCTCTTGCTAGCTGGGCAGCTTAGGGCATTTCTGAAAGCATAAGCTTTGGGGTCAGATATATCAGGGTTGGTATCTGGCTCTGCCGGAATTAACTGTGTCACCTTGGGCAAGTTACTTCACCCCTCTGAGCCCCAGTGTTGTCCTTTATAAAATGGAGCTGACATCGATAAGGCCTTTCTCCCTGGCTTGCGTAAGAGAATGCGTATAATATTTAGCACATGCTCTGGCACAAGCAGAGGTGCTTGGCAAATGTGAGTTGCTGCTGTTATTGACAGCTTCAGCTTATTCATATATACCGTTGCCTGTCTCTGCAGCACCAAGATGGTATTTTTTGTTCAAAACGAGCCTCCGCACCAGATCTTCAAAGGCCATGAGGTGGCTGCGCAGCTCAAGAATGAACTCCGGAAACAAAAGGCAGACTTTCTAGTGTTCAGAGCCCTGGAGGTCTACACCGTCAGTGAGTAATTCTGGGGTGTTGGGAACAAGACCCTGCCCAGTGCCCCCCCTCACCTGACAGTCCCCACTGTCCTCGGCCTCATCCCGTTCTTCAGGAACATGGAGATAATTTCTTCCCTCCACCACCGTTACCATGAGGGTCCCGATCATAGAGATTCTTAACCAGGGGTCTGTGGGCCCCTGAATGTTCAGAGGGCTATACATTTTGGGAAAAATTACATCTTTCTTTTCATTAACTTCTAACTGAAATTTATTATTTGCCTTAGTTATGAAGATAGGCAATAAAATACACTGTTAATTGAACCCATGACTTTGAGGCAATAGCAATTAGGCAATTTCTGTCACACAACATGATGACATACTTTTACTCATCACTATTTCAAAGTTATCAGATGTGAGACTCACTTCTAGATCTTGCTACTTCATTTTTTAATAAAAGCACACATATATTATTTTTTTATATATATATTTTTTATTGATTTTTTACAGAGAGGAAGAGATAGGGATAGAGAGTCAGAAACATTGATGAGAGAGAATCATCAATCAGTTGCCTCCTGCACACCCCCCACCAGGGATGTGCCCACAACCAAGGCACATGCCCCTGACCGGAATTGAACCTGGTACCCCTCAATCTGCAGGCCGACGCTCCATCCATTGAGCCAAACTGGTCTCTGCACATATATTATTTTTAAAATTATATTCTTAGCCAAAACCAGTTTGGCTCAGTGGATAGAGCATCGGCTTTCAGATTCAATTCTGGTCAAGGGCATGTACCTTGGTTGCAGGCATATCCCCAGTAGGGGTTGTGCAGGAGGCAGCTGAGCGATGTTTCTCTCTCATCGATGTTTCTAACTCTCTATCCTTCTCCCTTCCTCTCTGTAAAATATCAATAAAGTATATTTTTTAAAAATTATATTCTTAGGTATTTTAAAAACACATTCAATGTAATTGCTTTCCTTTATAATACTGTGCATTTTATTTTGCCATTTAAATTATTCAGAGAAGGGAGTCTGCAGGACATGAAATATTAAGAACTGCTGATATTAAGAACAATAAGTAAAACCAATCTGGAATCACCCTGGCCTGTGTGGCTCAATTGGTTGGTGGTAGGTTCCATTTCTGGTCAGGGCACAAACCCAGGTTAGGAGTTCAATCCCCGGTAGGGGCGAGTGTTTGAGGCAACCGATTGATGTTTCTCTCACATCAACCTCTCTCTTTCTCTCTCTCCTGCCTCCCTTCCTCTCTCTAAAAATCAAAAACCGTTTGGAACCATGTTCCAGTGGCCTTTCTAACTGCTCCAGTTGTATCCAACTGTGATGACATTTACAGGCAATGTGTGTAGACGCTCCTGGAGCAGGTCTTCGCAGGCCACTGAACGGGGGCGCCTTCCTGCTTTCACAAGCACTGCACGCTGACTGTCCCCACTCTGACTCCTGCTGTCTCTTCTCCCTTTTCTGCTCCTCTCAGCATGCCAGTTGAACTGTTCTGAGCATGGCCACTGTGATTCCTTTACCAAACGCTGCGTCTGTGACCCTTTTTGGATGGAGAATTTCATCAAGGTGCAGCTGAGGGATGGAGACAGCAACTGTGGTGAGTTTTCTGCTTGGCATTGTGCCAGCTGGTTTAGCACTGACTGGTTCTGAGTTGTGAGTGGGTGGGTGTTGTGTTTCTGAGGCAGATGAGCAAGCGAGGAGAACTTTGTGTATTTTCTGTTTGCAGAGGATTTTTACTTCTTTCCTCTGCACTTGCTCAAGGTTAGAGGAAAGCTCTGAAGCAGTTGTATAAGAACCAAGCAGAAAGCACACCAACTACTCCTGCAACTGCCAACTGCAGCCTACAGCAAACCAGCTGCAAGGCTGTCTTTCTGCTCCCCGTCTCTGTTATAGCTCCTTACAGCTGCCCCACTGTCACAGGGACTCCGAGAAGGGACTGGAAAGCAGGACAATTCTGAAGGTTTAAAACTTGAGCTGCCTTCAACTGATGTCTCCGCTTCCCTGGGGAGCCCTGGGTCATTCTTATCTACAGAGGGAAGGCATCTCTCGCTCAGACCTCCCTCCTCAACCCTGACCATTTGTTTTTCTTGGCAGAGTGGAGCGTGTTATATGTTATCATTGCTTGCTTTGTCATTGTCGTTGCCTTTGGAACCCTGTCCTGGACTGTGATCTGTTGTTGTAAGAGGTAAGTTGGATTGTCTTTGGAAATGCATCCAGGCTTCTAGTCACTGTAGTCAGTCATCAAGGACTCCTCCCTTCCTGTCAGTGTTACAGAACTCCGGCCCACCTCCTTCAGCCAGCGCTATCAGCGCAGTGATAGGCAGCCTGGGAGGGGTAACTAGGATGGGAGTGGGAGGGCCTGGGTATGGAACTCGAACACATCTCTGGGACATATGTCTTTTAACACTCCATACCTCAGCCGCATGACCTTAGGAGATCATTTTATTTTTGGCCTTCCTCACTCGCTGGGATTCAGATGAATACAAGTTTTCACACAGTTACAGACTTAAGTTAGTCATGATTAAGGGTAATGGGTTTTCTCATTTGGTCTTCTTATCTAGTCTTATAATACTTAATAGTAATGCTTATTATGTTTTCCATTATAAGATTTCTACATTTACTGTGTGTCAATCTCCATGATAAATTTTATAGATAATCTGTTTTAATGCGCATGACAACCTTTCCTCATCTTACAGATGTCACCCGTCCATGGGACACACAGTAAATAAGGGGTAGAGCTTAGATTCAACCTGCAGTATAACCACATATAAAACAGAAAATTCAAAGAACTTTAAAAAATTCCCACCACCAAAGACCATCACCATTAACAACTTTCTTGGTTTAATGCTTTCCTCTTCGACCCACACCCCTCAAGCATAGTTTTCCTTTTCTTTACATTTTTAATCAATCCGCCCCTCAGTACCACTGTGGACTGGTGAGTCCACGCTAAGATATCCACGTGTCCCTTGCCCTTTCCTGGAATTGGTGAGAATTATTTGAACAAATTACAGTTGCCGACTTTCCTGGCTGAAAGGCAGGAGAAACAGGTCTTCCACTAGCCTGGGCGTGGCTGGCATCCTGTGGGGTCCACCTTCCTAAGCAGGGTAGGGGATTGTGTTTTTCAGGCAAAAAGGAAAACCCAAGAGAAAAAGCAAGTACAGAATCCTGGATGCCACGGATCAGGAAAGCCTGGAGCTGAAGCCCACCTCCCGAGCAGGTAGTAGCACTGTGTGTCCTGCCTGATGAAGGCCGAGGTGGGCGTGGCCCTGTGCTGGCAGAAGCTGTCTGCTGGGCCAGCTCTGATGCCAAGGCTCTCTCAGCTGTCCTTCCACTTTGCAGACAGGCGAGGCCTCCTGCTCTCCTTTGCCTGCTTGTTCCCTGGAGTTTCGCTCTTTGAGCTGTCCTGTGTAGTCAGGCTCAGGGACTGTGGCTCCCCTTTCTGTGCAGACAAGGTGAGGCAGCGATGCAATTAAAGGGATGTCTGCCAGCTGACCTCCTTTCACTCTCCAGTGGTTACAGGTAGATCCACAGGCTCTGTCCTTGTCTTAGAGCCAGAGGAGGGCAGGTTCCCAGCTGGTTCCAGGGGTGGGGCTGGGAGTCAGGACTGCAGAGCCTTTCTTGCTGGGATGTCATGGTGGTTTCCATCCATCATGGATACCACAGGACAGGCAGCATCTATAGATTACCCATCTGTGAACATGGATTGAGACCACTGTGTACCAGGCCCTGTGCCAGACACCTCCTGTAGTATAGCAAACCAGCAAACTCATAAATACACACAAAGGTGATAATGAAAGGTCTTTATAAAGATTAAGTCAAACTGAGCCCTGAGGGACGAGTAGAAGTTGGTCATGTAAAGATTGGGAGATAGCATTTCAGGCAAAGAGTAGTCAGTGAAGGTCAACTGCTGGAAAGAGCAGAGGACATTTGAGGAAGTGGAAGGAGGCGACATGATGATCATGGGACAAGTGGCATGAGGCTGGAAGAGTAGGGAACTTGCTGTAGGTTCCTTCTAAGAACAATAGGGAGCCACACAGTTTTAAAGCATTGAATGGTGCAATATTACTTGACATATTAAGAAGGCTACTGTATGAAGGAATTGGAGAGGGGCAAGAGTAAGTGAAAGGAGATTCACTAAAATGTTCTTATGGTAGAGATGATGAGACAGAGGCAAATACACTGAGAGGGGAACTTAATGAGGTTCCTGGTATGTTGTGAGGGGTGAGAAAGGATGGTCCTCCCACCAAGCTGCTGCTTTGAGCACCTCTGGGCTGGGTAATGTTACTGCTCGAGATGAGAACGCCTGGAAGAAATGGAGATGAAGTGTTTGTTTCAGGACAGTTATGGATTTGGATGAGGAAATGAGGCTGGAAGATTGACAAGGATCAAACTATGAAAAGATTTGTACATCAGCCTAAGGAATTAAGCATTTATTTTGATGTAATGATAAAAGTGACATCTTCAAGGTGCTGGCTTTGGGGAAATTAGTCTAATGATAACATTTCATCGAATGAACAGGAAAGACAGGCCAGGGTTGGCTTCTGACCTGACAGAGAATGATAGTACTGTTGGCAGAATATGGACATCTAGTGCAGTGATGGTTTGGGTGAGAGAAGATGAGTTACATTGAAGTCAACAGAACAGTTAAGCGAAGTGTCAATATATAGGGATCTTCTATATGCTTGTGGAATCAGTTAGCACCACATAAGTGGGTCAGGTTCCTCTGGGGAGAATGTTGAGGGATAAGAGAAGAGCCCAAGGCTGAGAAGGGAGGAGGAGCATCATGAAAGAGTGGTCAACAGTATTTGCCGTTGCAGGAAGAGAACCGAGAAGGTGACAACACAGCGTAGTTTCTGGTCACCTAAAGAGCTATAGTGGGGGGGGGGGGAGTAAGAAAGCAACCAAAGGGCTTGTATGCATGCATATTAGCATAACCAATGGACAGGGACACTGGGGTGGTGGGGGTTTGTCCTAGGGGGCGGGCATGGTGGTGGTGGGTCAATCAGGAGAAAAAGGAGACATATGTAATAATTTTAAAAAAGAGAGCTAGAGTAGTGGTGGATGACAGCAGAAAATGCAGGTTTTTGTTTTTTTTTGGTTAATATTTGCCCGAGGATATTTTCCCATTGATTTTTAGGGAATGTTGAAGAGAGAGGGAAAGACAGAAACACTGATGTGAAATACATTGATTGGTTGCCTCCTTCACAAACCCCAACCAAGGAGGAGCCTAAAACCAAGGTACATGCTCTTGACCAGAATCAAACCTAGGACCCTTTGTTCTGCAGGCCAATGCTCTATCCACTGAGCAATACTAGCTAGGGCGAAAGTACATGTTACTTAAGAAATAGGCAGTGTGGAATTAGAGGCCCTAGCTATTTGAAAGTCCTCGTGGAAGCTGAGCTGAAAAGTGGAGAAGCAGCAGGACAGGGCTTCGAAGGCAGTTTCCTCGGATGGGTTCACGAGATGTAGATGGTACAGGTGCGGTTCCTGAGGAGGAGGGAAGAGGGCAAGAAGAAGAGAGGAGTCTAAATGGGACTACAACACCTCTTCTGAGGAAGGGAGGAAAAGCTGGCTGGCCGCACTACGTGCTGGGTTGAAAAGGCAAAATGGGAAGATGGATTGCAGTATGCCAGGCTTCTTGTGAAAGGGGAGGGTAGTGAGGAAGAGCCATGATAAATCGCATCATCTATGTAAGACGACTACTGTGTTCTAGTAAAAGCCTGCTCAGATTGACCAGAGTCAGAGAGGCGGTCTATTAAAAAAAGAACTGGTGTTGCCTCAGAAGTGGGGGGGGGGTAGTCTTATACAGCGAATATAGGCATAAACATGTTTTAACTGTAAAATTAGGGGGTCGTCTTATACGCCCGGGCATCTTATACGCCGGAAAATACGGTAACTCCACCGAGACTGGGCGAGGCTCAGCAGGCCCTTCTCTTTAAGGGCAGTGTCTGACTAAGGGGGTGGTGAGAATGCCCTTGGATTTGGGATGGCTGACCATGCCACGAGCCCTGGCTCTTGTTTTGGGCTCTGTGGATTAGCGGGGCAGCCTAGAGCAGGGTCACTAGTAGGGTGAGGGGGTGGGATTCGAGACTGTATTGTACGAAGTATAGACTTGAAGCTCAGCTTGAAGAAGGGAGTTAGTGGGGCCTGTTGTGGAGGAAGACATGTTGTATAGAAGTGTTTGCTGGGAGCCAGGGTCAGCCTGGGTGAGGGGTGACAAAGGCTGCCAGGTGGAGCATGGGGCATGCCCCCTCCAGAGATGGGGTTCACATTTAACAGCTGTCCTTTTGAATTTTGTTATGCTCTTCTATCAATTTTTAAAAAACAAACATTTTATTGAAGTATATTAGGTCGAACCATGTGAAATTACTACTTAGCTTCTAAAAAAAAAATGGCATTTTGTAGTTCTAACAAGTTATAAAGTTTAATGGGTTTTCACAACTAAACAGCACATGTAATCAGCCCCCCAGAAGTGCCTCCTCTGTGCTTCTCTCCCCAGCCACTGTCTCCCCCTCCCCTTACTTCTAATTTCTTGGGAGTTTTATATTAGTGAAATCAGTGTATTTGGCTCTTCACTCAACATTCTATTTATCACATTCACCCATATTATTAGAGCAATAGTTCATTCTTATTGCTGCACTGGAGGCCCAGTGCACGAAATCTGTGCACAGATAGGGTCCCTCTGCCTGGCCAGCGATCTGGGCCAATCTGTGGGGCAACCAGCAGGGTGATCCCTCCCTTGGAGGCACCCACCTTAGCCAGCCTGGCCTACAGCATTGGAACTGTTGGTCTCATTTACTCTGACTTCCCTTGTAGGGCTGTTCCAGCTGGCCAGCACTGCAAAGGCTCAGGAAGCCGCCTCTTCCCATCTGCCCCTCCCAGCAGGGAGGGGACCAGGATTCCCTGTCCCCCGGCTCTTCAGGCTGGGAGGAGGGTGTGGCTCAAGCTGGGAAGGTTGTGCTCCTGATGCAGAAGTCCCTTCTCTCCCTTGCAGGCATCAAACAGAAAGGCCCAATGCTGAGCAGCAGCCTGATGCACTCTGAGTCGGAGCTGGATAGCGATGATGCCATCTTCACGTGGCCAGACAGAGAGAGGGGCAAACTCCTGCAGGGTCAGAACGGCTCCGTGCCCAACGGACAGACCCCGCTGAAGGCCAGGAGCCCGCGGGAGGAGCTCTTATAACCAGCCACCTGGTCCGTCTCCTCAGGGTGGAGGTTGGCAGTGCTGGGGTCCAGAGCATTGCCAGGCTGGTTCTCAAACCTCCCATTTCAGTGGGCAGCTGTTGTGCCAGCATTCGCTGGTCAACTCCCTCCATATCATCCCCAACCAGAGCTGCTGGTGCCTGGATCCAGAGACCTTCTCCAGGAACCCTGAACAAAGCTGTGAATGAAGAGGCTTCCTCTTTAAGCCATCTGGTAGCCCCTCACTCTCACCTCCTTTTCCCTGCTAGCCTCACCTCAGGGCCTCCGTTTTTGCAAACCCCTCCCCTGCTCTGAGGGCGGACACAGCCAGCTCCCTGTTGGCGGTGTTGCACTCCCAGAGCACCTGCACAGTGAGGGCTGGCCGTGCCCCCCACGCCTGGGCACAGAACCAAGCACTACCAGTCTACCAGAGCCTGCCCTAAGGCTTCTCTTTGGGATCACTGGATCCAGAGGATGTAGCACCCCTTCTCCTCACCACCAGTGCTGGGCTGGTGGTGCAGACATGGTGTCTGGCCTGAGGGTAAGGGAGAGCTGGCTATTGTGTCAGAGCAGTGAGACTGGACACAGACCGCCTCCCCATCTCCTCCTGACCAGAGCTGGCCGAGAGCAGAGCCACAGCTGACTGGAATGTTACGGCATGAAAGCGCATGTGTGCGATTGTCCTACTGTGTTCTTTGTGTCGTGTGTGTGTGTGTGTGTGTGTGTGTGTGGTTACTCACAACGCAACCCTGACTTGGAAAGACTTTAAGCTCCTTGGAAGAGAGACTTCCTATGGTGTCTGGGTATTGAGGAATGGGAGCTTTGGGGGGGAGGGGGGGAAGACTTTTTAAAGAGAAGCTTATAGTTTATACTACTGTCTGTTGTGAGATGATTAAACATGCTATTTAATTGTACCTGTGCCCATTGACTGCTGCTGTGCTCTATCACTGACCTGTACCATAAGTCCAGCCACTGGTGCATCCCTGAGAGGTGATGGCCTCCAGCAGGGAAGACATGGGGCTGGGGTTGTGCCTGTACAGCTGCCTGACTGGTGGAGGAGTACATCCCTCCTGGCCCCTGCTGGCCAGCTGCCCTGGCTTTTAAAGAGGGCGGTTTTCTGTCCTTCAATACCCACAGCTCCCCCTTACCCCAGGGCCTGTTGCCTGTTGCCAAGGAACCCCAAACATAAGGCATCCTTGCATTTCTGGAGTCCCACTAGGTACTTGCACATAGAGGAAACTTACCAGGAAGCAAACTCAAAGAAAACTCCTAAGGTTGGAAGGCTGCAGCCTTGGCCTTCCTGCTTGGGGAGAGGCTGATCTTTGTCCTTACAACTTCCCTTTGGCCCATCTGATAAGTAGAAGGAGCTAAGGAGGGGATCACATACATTGAGAGTTACTCTCTGAAAATAGGATGGAAAGAAGGTGCATGCAGTTGGGTCATCTGTCCCTGGAAAAGTTTCAGGAGCATGGACGAGGCCCTTGACTTTTGTGGAATCTGTGTTGGTTGGCTTAAGGGGCCTATACATTCTTTCGTTATGCCCAGATCATGTTTATAACCCCTTCCAACTATTACTCTTCGGTTTGGGGATGGGGTTGGTGGTGGCTACCTAGTTTCCAATATTTCCAGCATTAGAGCTGTGCCTGTCTACTGTTGTGCCTCCTGCTGGAAAGAGGTTTGACATTGAAGGGTATTGATCATGCAAAGGATTGGTCTTAGACAGTTTTCTATCCAATTCTCAGTGCAGATTCAAATTTTCCCTAATTTAACCCTAACCCTCCCTCACCCCTTCTCACTTCTAAGCTAATCACATTCTGGCAACAATAGCTGTGGGTCCTGTGCTGACTGTCCATTAGAATCGCCTGAGCACGTTTTAAACCACACTAATACTTGGAACCCACACACAGGAGGTTTTGACTTTTGAATATTTAACTGAACTTTTATTAAGTCCTCCTGTAATTTGTGAAGCCATACCAAGTCCTGGACAAGGGGAAATAGCCAGTTGGGTTTGGTAGAAGGTAAAGTACCCAGACGCCCAGAACTTCTGAACCACACTGCAGGGAGAGGCCCCTGAAGTTGGGTGAAGAGATCAACTGTTCACCAAACCAAGGTCCTTTCCCAGGACACACAGCTCATCCACATTCCAGACTTCTGCACAATATGGGCAGCAGAGGATTCCGTCTTCAGCCCTGGCCCTTAAAGTTTTCTGTGACGCCCACTCCCTTCCTCTATCTGCTGCCAGAGCAGAGGCGCACTCCGGGAACCTTCTTCCTGAACCACCATCTGGAAGAGAGCTGCCCTACCAGAATGGCCTTTGGATTGTTATGAAAGAAATAAAAATATATTTTTAAAAAACTCATGTTAAGATTATGGGTCTAAACCTACCAGTTTGGTTCAGTGGATAGGAAGGTTGGCCTGCAGTCCCAAAGAGTCCCGGGTTTGATTCCAGTCAAGGGCACATACGTTGGTTGCAGGCTCCTCAGCGCCTGGGCTCTGCTCAGGGCACATGCAGGAGGCAACCGATTGATCTGTTTCTCTCTCAGCGATGTTTCTCTTTATTCTTTGCCAAGTTAAATGGAAAAATTTCCTTGGGTGAGGACTAACAAAAAATAAAGAATAAAAATAAAAAGATTATGGGTCTAGGCTCGCTTCTGTCACAGGTCTCCCTGGGCCTAAATACATTACTAGCGTTGACAATGATGCCTCAGGATTATGCTGCCCTACACAGCATGGCAGTACTGACAGCCACTGCAGGCAGGGGTAGAACCGTGAAATTTCAAACCTGCCTCCACTGCCCCACACATCCCAGCACAGCCTAGTAGAGGCAGTTGAGACACCCTTCCCTCCCAATACCCCTTCCCCCCAAAAAATAATCACCCAGCAATGACAGCAGCCATTAGTGAAAAGTAGGGAATTCTGGGAGCTCAGAAAATCAGTTGTCTACCATCCACCATATCCCTAGAGGTGGCCCTTAACTTTTGTAGGTATATGGCATTTTTCTTAACAAAAGCACTGCTACACTATTATGATTATAGAGGCTCAAATACTGCAGGTAAGAAAACAAAAACTTGTGCTATACCACCATCTAGTGGAAAATAAAGTGCCCTACCTTTCAACATGCTGAATTGTTGAAAACAAAACAGTAAACAAAGTTCACTATCTCAAATGCACAGATATGGGAGCAATGCATCAAATAACATGACCAAGCAAGGTAACTTGGGAGCACACAAAATTAAATGTCCAGAAACCAATCTCAAAGTCATGGAAGATGGTGATTTAGATATCAGAATTGAAGATTGCAACTATCAAGAAATTTCAATGATATACAAGAAAACTCAGAAAGGCAGTTCAATGACTAATTGACTAAAGAGACTGGAACTATAAAAAGAACCAAACAAATTTTGGAGCTGAAGAACTCAATAAATGAGTTGAGGAATGCATTAAAGAGCAATGAAAATAGAGCAGATCAGATGGAAGAGAGAAACAGCTCAAAAATGGAAATCTAGAAATGACCCAGGAGGGAGAAGCGAACTGAGAGTTTGAAAGGAAAGAACTCTTATGTCCTGGCCTGTGTCAGGTTAGAGCATTAGCTCATGCGCTGAAGGGTCTCAGGTATGATTCCCAGTCAAGGGCACATACTTAGTTGCAGGTTTGATCTCCGCCCTAGTGGGGGCATGTGCAGGAGGCAACAATGTATCTCTGTCACATCAATGTTTGTTCACCTCCCTTTCTCTCTTCCACTCTAAAAATCAATGAAGAAATATCCTTGGGTGAGGATTAACAAAGAAACAAAAAGTTCTCTGAAAATTATACAACACTAGAAAGAATAATATACGGATAACAGGTATACCAGAAGAAAAAGGAACAGAGAGCCTACTCAAATAATGGAAGAGAATCGTTCCAAACCCCAAGGAAAGAACTGGACTTTATAATAGAGGAAGTGAACATAACACCTAATTATATCAATGCAAAAAGACCTTTTCCGTGATACATTTTATTTAAACTCAAAAATCAATGACAAAGAATTACCAAGGAAGCCAGAAAGAAAAAAAGACTAACCTACAAAGGAACTCCATTAGATGATCAGATTTCATAATAGAACATAAGACAGGAATAATGGAAGGAAATATTCTAAATATTGAAAGGACCACCAACAAGGGTAATATATCTAGCAAGTTAGTCTACAGATATGAAGGAGAAAGAAGGCTTTCCCAGACAAAAGCTGAGAATTTGTCACCAATAGACCTGCATTACAAGGATTGTTGAAAGTAGCTCTTAAAAAAAATAAGTTTTATATATATATAAAATTATATATATATATATATATATATATATATATATATATATATATATATATATATAAAATTGACTTTTTACAGAGAGGAAGGGAGAGGAATAGAGAGCCAGAAACATCGATGAGAGAGAAACATCCATCAGTCCTCCTGCACACCCCCTACCGGGGATGTGCCCGCAACCAATGTACATGCCCTTGAATGGAATCAAATCTGGGACCCTTCAGTCTGCAGACCGATGCTCTATCCACTGAGCCAAACCGGTTTTGGCTGAAAGTAGCTCTTTTATTGGAAACAAAAAGACGAAGATATACAAAACTGAGTAAGATAACTAACAGAAAGGAAACTATAAATCTACTTCAGAATATGATATTAAACAGTTACAACAAAGATTAATTGGGGGGGGCAGTGAAGAAATGCTACTGCAATGTGGTAATATCATAAAAAGGGAGAATTTGTGACCACAAAGTCATAAAAGTGGAGTGGAAAGTGACTTGAGTGGGTGCAGGTGAATGAAGATAAGACTGAATCAGAAGAACAAGGACTACCATGTGTATGAAACATTTACATAAACCTAATGCTAACCACAAAACAAATATCCAGAGCTGAGATTCCAAGCCTGAAGAGGAAATGGAGAGAAAAAACATAGAAAACCACCAAATTAAAATAGCAGACAGAATCACAAAGGGGGGGGGGGGGAATACAAAAG